AGTAGTTTTGAAATGCTCATCGGTGTCACCACTGCGTACTGTCGGGCAGTTGTGTCAAACTTTTTTGCATTTCGGCAAAAAGAAGGAAATGGCTTTGCGCTGGGCACTTAAGGCAATATTTACCATGGCACTGAGTTTCTTCCTTTGTTGGCGGCAATGGCACAAGTCAGGGTATGCAAATTTGTAGCTGGTGGTTAATGTGTAGTGCGTTTAGTGCGTAGTTATGCCGCCGTCCCCGGCAGGTACGTATTAATGAGGTTTCACTGTATACTGCTTAGTGTGCTTTGGCTATGTGGTGTCTTTCTTTCATTCTGTACTAGTTTAGCCCCACCTTGAACACCCTGAACAGACATCAACTTGCCCAGTTTGCCATTCTCAATGTCACCTTGGGGTTCTGCAATAAAGCAGCCAGAATGAAATTCCCCTCATCCGTAACAACATTTTCTTTCACAATTTATAGATATAAAAGACATTTTGTATTGGTCATAATGTATTGGTCATAATGGCTTGAGCTCAGGTTTTACAGGACAATTAAAGAATTTTTTCCAACACCACCACCACCATCACAGCTATCCCAAACCAAATATGCACTGCAGCAGTCTGCAACCTGTCGATACCCACTGGACAGGGGCACACGATGCTCATTAGCGTGCAGCTTGAGGATTTACAATGGCCACATTGAGCACTTTCAATTTATGCTCCAAGCATACTTTACAATGCTTGAGGAAAAATATACAGTTGAATCTCGTTATTTCGAACACGCTTAATTCGAACTTCCGGTTGATTCGAATTCAGGATGAGGTCCCGTCAAAGCTATGTGTATTCCAATGGGCGAAAACGCCCGGTAATTTGAACGCCCAAGCACTTCTGACGATTAATTCGAATATACCACGCTCCGAAAATGCTCTCAGCACCCCACCCAATCCCGCCGCGGCACCTGCGACACCTCAACGCTGCCCGCGAAGGAAATGAAAACGAAAGAAAAGGCTGCGGTGGAATGTTTGCTCTTTCCTAAATGCCGATCTGCGGCGCGCCCGTGTCCCGCTTCTCCATTTTACGTCCCTGCCAAAAAAAGACCCTCCTCCTTCTAACGCCATGGGCAAAGAGAAAGAGGAAAAAAAAAAAAGCCGTCGCTGGGTTGAATGGTTGTGTGGTTGAAGGAAAGAAAAAAGGCACTATCTTCTGCAGCCCTTGCCCCTTGCGGGAGCACGGCTCTGCGACTTGAGGGGGGGGGGTCTTTCACGCGCTGGTGCCACGCTTTCTCCTTTCTCTTCCCTGCCACGTAACCCTTCTCCTTTCAACGACGCCCGCAAAGAACGCAAAAAAAAAAGAAAAGCTGCCGTGGCGTGTTGGTTTTCTCTGAAATACCGATCTGCTTCTCTCCTCCTTTCTCCTGATGTGCTGGCCATGCTGCAGCTGCCTGGCGGAGAGCGGGAGGCTCTGCTACGCAGCAGTCGTTGTCGTCGTCTTTAGAAAGTGTCGGCGCTGGACATTTTCGCACGCAACTTCTCTTGCCAAGAGAATACTGAAGCCGAAGTAGAAATGCTTTGGAAGCTGCATGCGAAATTGGTTGACTCGGTGCAGGACAAACGTGTGCAAATGCGCATCACCGATTACTTCAATTAATAACGAATGTCCTGTGATTTGTGAATAAATGTAAGTCTTCTTAAACTTACCCCTGATGTGTTAGCTCAATGCACATGCGCCACTGCATAAAGAGCCCTCCGTTTATTTAGCTTTCATTAATTAAAACTTCTTTTAATTCGAACAAATTTTCGGGCCCCTTCGAGTTTGAATTATCGAGATTCGACTGTACTAAAATCTAATATATTTCCAAGCACTGAATGCCTTTTTTGAATTTAGATACACCTGTCAGCTTGACTATTGTTGCCAATAAACAATGAAATTTCGGGTGTGTAAGTACAGTATTGGCATGGCATGATTTCGATACAGGAAGGTGTGCTACGGTACTAGTAGCACATCAATGTCAATGAGAAGTGTGTCGATGTGCGCAAGAAGCAATGCCGCAAAGGCTTCGTGAAGATTACAGAGCACATTCGGTTGTGGAAAAAAATTATCACCTGTCTTACTGTATTGGGAGTTCTCCCCGAGAAGGATGGCTTTTCAGATTAAAAACAACATGCTGAACCACAATGAAGGCTACGTAAAGATGTGGCAGGAATAGGACTGGTCTGGCAAATTTTACAAGTACAGTAAAATCTCGTTACTTCGACCCCCGTTAATTCAGAATTTCAGTTAATTCAGCCAAGACATCTGGTCCCGTCCAAAATATACATTGTTCTACGACTGAAAACTCTCATTGATTCGGACAAATGTAGCCACACTTCGGTTAATGCGAATGCCTCACCGCCGTCGAGTCACGACGGGGAAGCAGCAGCGGATTCTGCCAGCCAAATCGACGGCGCACCTAAACAACTTTGGGATCGAATTGCGGCGTCTGAGATTCAAAACTTCTTGGGTAGTACATCTTGGAAGCACCCCCCCCCCCCCCCCCAAGAAAAAAACAACTAAACCACATGGTGCTTTAAACAACCAAAAATGGAAGGCAGTGCATCACTACTGTCATTAGCAACGGGCAAACCACGAATTTGCCTTTTTTTCTTGCGCGTCGAACACGTTTGCGTGACAGTCGAGTTGGATTGCTCACCTCTAGTGTGCTTTAAATTATTTATCTGTACATGATGAGTGCCATCTGCAGTCTTAATGTTAGGTGTTTTTTTTAAAAGTTCACCGGTTTTTATTTCGTTCTTACCACCGTGCGTTTTTTTTTTGTGTGTGTGTGTGTTTGTGTTGTCTACTTCGTGAACGCGTGCGTGACCGCCACGCGAGCAACGCCGGGACGGCTTCCCCTTCGTCTCCTGCCGTCCTAATCGCCCCAACTCCCGCAATGAAGAGGGCAAAGTACGACGCAAAGGATTTGGCTGCGAAGGTGAAAACATTGAAGGCATTGCAAGTGGGAGCATCTCTAAAAGAAGTAATGAAAAGTTCAATGTGAAGAAAAGCACACTGAGCACTTACGTGAAGACCGAAGAGCAGATTACGCAAGTGTATGACGGGGACATGTTTGGTGACCAAAGGAAGAGGCTTCAAACCACAGTGCATCCCAAGCTAGAAGAAGCGCTATTGCACTGAATTGCCGTTTCGCGAGATGCATGTTTGCCCTTGAGCAGCCCCTTATCGGCGCGCAAGCAGAGAAGTTCGCGGTGACCATGAACATTGACTCCTTCAATGCGTTGGAAGGCTGGATCGACCGCTTCAAGAAGTGACACAGGCTGGTGTTCTGCAATGTGTGTGGTGAAAGAGGTGCGGTTGGCAAAAGTGTTGTGCAGGACTGGCGGTCTGGACTATCCGTGCGCCTTTCTACGTACGAGTCGTGCAACATTTTCAACGCTGACGAGACAGCGCTGTTCTATAAGGCTCTCCCAGACAAGACAATTGCGTATAACGAGGACTGGTGCATTGGTGGAAAACAAAGTAAAGAGCGCGTGACAGTTCTTCTGGCTGCTAACATGACTGGCACAAAGCGGCTGCCGCTGCTGGTGATCGGAAAGGCTATATTAGGCAGCTGCCTGCCGACTACCGGTTCAACAGAAAGGCTTGAATGACTGCCGAACTCTTTCAAGCCTGGCTGGGTCAGCTTAACTGCTGCTTTGCGGCAAAGCTTAGAAGGTGTTGTTCGTGCTAGACAACTGTAGTGCACACACGAAAGTGTCCGGGCTCGAGAACATTGAACTGCAATTCCTGCTTCCGAACACAACGGCTTCCCCGCAGCTGATGGACCAAGGAATCATACAGTTCGTGAAAATCTGCTATCGACAGCAGGTACTCGAGCGGATGTTGCTCTGCATGGAGTCAGGCAAGCAGTACAAAGTAAGCCTGCTAAGCCCAATTCGCATGCTGACATACGTGTGGAACAACACACCACCTGCCGTAGTCGCAAACAGCTTTAGGCATAGCGGCTTCGTGCACGACGTTGCTGATCCGAGGATGGTGGCCAATGAGGAAACAGGGTAAGAGCAAGATGGCCGCTATGTGAGCATCATGCCAGCTGATGTGCCCCTTGGCGATTACTTCGCAATTGACAGCGATGTTGCTGTGACCGGCACAGTGACCCACAGCGATATCGTCGCCGAAATCTTGGACGGCGAAGGGGAATCGGCTGACGAGGATGTAAGTGATACTGACAAGCGTCCACGCCACACTATGACAGAGGCTGTGCATGCATTGGCCATTTTGGAGGACATATGCATATTTCCACGGACAGTGTGCGCAGACTAAGCCACCTGCAGGAACTTCGCAAAATTGTGACTGTCAGACATTGCGCCCGTGAAGCAAAACGCGATCACAGACTTTTTTAAGAAATAAAAGTCTGATGGTGTAGGAGACATTTTTCAAGTGTTTTGTTCATACTCACGATAAGTTGTACCCTCGGTCAATTTGGACATTTTCTCTGGTCCCGTGAAGTCCAAATTAACAGGGTTTTACTGCATTTTTTAAGGTTCACCACAGACCTGCACCTTGACATCACAGGGGAGAAAAGCAAGCTGCCACCTTGAAAGCAAATGTACACTCACACTACTAACATGTATCGTCAAACAAACATCTAAGCAAGGACATAAGATGGAAGTAACAACGTTCCTAAAAAAGAAGATATTACACCTTTACAGCAACAATTCATCACCCACCCGTACCTGCTGCTACAGCGCAGCCACTACAAGAATGCAATGGCACATGTTAATGCAGCTCTCATTTTCAAGCTCATGGAGCGCATCTTAGGTTTGCACAGTAGAAAACTCTTTGTACCTTCATTATTAGCATGTATTTAAAACTTTACTGGTACTAATTATGGAGACCGAAAATTTCCACTAACAAGGCACCATTGTTTAAGTAGCACATGTTAAGTGGACTATATTAAATTCAAAAGTCTTCCGTCTAAGTATGAGATCCTTGGCCCAAGTTCAGCCAGTCTAGTGACTCACCTCTGAGGTGTCAATCAGGTAGTTGATAGATCCGTTCAGGCTTCCCTGAGCAGCAAGTAGAGCAGCATAGCGGCTCAGCAGGCTTGAAAGCACTCCAGATTCTATAGGCTGTGGCTGTGAACCCATCTGGCTGATGGCTGCCCTCAGAACCATCACCTGTTCCACCAGTTCCTGTATAAAACAAGAATTTAAAGCTTCATCAACAGAAGTACTTCATTGGGTTGAGAGAGAGAGAGAGACAGATTATAGTGAAGTGATGGCTTAAAACCTGCACAGTATAATCTCAGCAAATGAAAATCCCCTAAATGATACAACAGCTTCTAGTTTAATTAGTTTTGTATATTTATGCTGCACCCTAGGCATATTTCTCAACAAATGGAACTCCAGTTGATGGAATGTAGTCTCCTAGTCCATGTTCTGTTCTAACGAGTCACCATATTTACTGGCATAATTGTGCCCTCGCATAACTTGTGCACCCACAATATATTGCCAGCTATACACAAAAAAAAAATATTCACTCTCATATTTTGCACTCCCCATCCCACCTGAACCAGCTCGCCAGCACATGCACAAAGAGAACTTGGACGTTTGGACGCTTTGGATGGGTACGCCGAGCACGCGCCTCGACTAGTAGGTAAGCGCCGTCAAATGGGCTGCGAGTGCAAAGTTCCTTCATCCGAGGACTCCCCTTGAACAAGTGTCCTGAGAATACTGTACCCGAACACTCAAACATGTTGACGAGTCACCGGAACTGCTCGAGTGTTTGCCTCTATCTCCCCATCTCTACTACCATGAGAATAGACGCTCGTGTCACGGTACGAACCACTTTCTGCACCAGAGGCGTGCAACGGCAGGTCGCAGTCCCCCTCGTTCTTTGCGTCCACGCTGCCATGCATGCTTGGTTGATTTCAGAGTTTAGGTTTCACCATCCGTCCGTCCCATTTTTACTGTTCTCTTGTGATGAGCTACAGTAATTAATTATACATACTGTGTGAAGAAGAAAATGAATCATTGGCAAGCAACATCGCCACCGCTTGGGTACTGGGTTCTGGGCTTCTCTCGCTCGCCTCGTGCTGATTGTCGCCGGCCTCTGCTTGACCATTGCTCTGTCCCGATCGTGTTTTCATCGAAGGGCCACCGTCGCAGCACACGCCAATAAACCCCTTTTCAATTGGTGGAGGGTGCTGACGTTCCCCCTCGCCTGAACTTGGGTGCTGCCATTTGCCGTCGCCTAAACCTGGAGCTGCGCAACCGAACGCTACCTCCGATCATGGCCACCAACAACGCGCAACCTCGCTCTTCCACTCCATCCTCCGGCAACCCTGGCGTTCTTCGCTTGCGAAAGCCCAAGGTCTTCAGCAAAGCTGATAAGACCGACGTGGAAGACTGGTTCCCCAACTAAGAACTGGTGAGCGCAAACAACAAGTGAGATGACACGGACAAGTTGACTAACGTCATCTTTTACCTCACTGACGTGGCCGAAATGTGGTATAACAACCACAAAAACGACATTACGACGTGGTCCATCTTCAAAACGTCAGTTGCTAACGTTTCTGGCCGACCCGCTGTCCGCAAGTCCAGAGCCAAACAACGCTTGCGGACGCGCGCAGAAGCCAACGAAATCGTTCACTAGTTACATCGAAGACATTATTGGTCTTTGCAACCGTGTGAACACCGCCATGCCCGAGTCGGAGAAGATTCAGCACGTCCTCAAAGGAATAAATGACGGTGCATTTCAGATGCTCCTGGCCCGTAATCCTGACACCGTTGCGGAACTTGTGACTTTATGTCAAAGTTTCGACGAGTTGAAGAAGCGGCGTGTCCTGACTCGGCCATTTTCCTCACACGCTGACTCGCTCTCCAGTCTTTCTTCTGTTCCCGATCACTCACCAACTCTGCAAGAGATTAAAGACTTTGTGCGTGAAAAAGTAGCTCGGCAACTGTCGTTGATTCCCTTCACGCAGCAGCCGCCGTCCTCTCGTCTGCCCTCACCACTCCGTGACGTTACTGCCCAAGAGGTAGCTCAGGCTGTTCCCGTCGCTGCCCACCAGCAGCCTGTGGCCATGCCTGTTCCCCATGCGCCGGCTATGCAGCCCATGACCGCACCTCTTACGTATGCCCAGGTGGTACGCAGCAGACCCCGCCAGCAGCATTTGCCACCGATGTCTTCAGTTGCTCCCCACTCCGCCCCTCTTTCGACACCTTGGGCCACACCGCGAGTAAGCAATTCCTGGTGCACTCCTGAATATCGACCAATCTGCTACGCCTGCGGTACTCCAGGACACGTGGCACGATATTGTCGCCGTCGCTTCCAACCACTCAACGACGCTACTCAACCGTTATCTTATGACCCACAGCCCATGCAACTACCTGCTCCCTATCCCCCACCACAGTATGGCTACAGTAACCTTCCCAAGTCTCAGTAATGCCAGCCCCTGTCTCAGACTCACTCTCCCCGCTCCCCGTCTCCTCGCAGGCAATCACTGTCCCCAATGCGTCCCCGACCTGCTTCCTCCAACCGGGAAAACTTAACGCCGCAGTTCCAGAGGCAAGAACTGCACCATCGTCGAAATGCTCAAGTCCTTGCACTTCACCTGCTAACGTCGTCGCCATATCTGTCGATGGTGTTTCCACCTTTGCCCTCGTCGACACAGGTGCTGCCGTTTCTGTTATAGCCACCCAGCTCAGCCGCTCCCTACGCAATGTGACCATGCCGCTCTCTGGACTATCGCTTTGTACGGCTAGCGCACAACCAGTTCGACCTCTCGGCACCTGTACGGCCCGCATATTCATCCAAGGCTCTATGTACGTTGTCGAGTTCATCGTCCTTTCGGTGTGCTCGCATGACTTTATCCTTGGTAGGACTTTCTGTCACATCATCATGCCGTCATCGACTGCGCACGCGCTGAAGTTCAATTTTCGCACCTGTGTGATGAACCTTTGCACGAAACTCTTGAGCAGTCGCCAAAACTCGTCGTGCGTGAGGACAACGAAATTCCGCCAGCCTCTCTTGCCGTTGTCCCTGTTTGCTACGATGACCATAACAATGCTACGGTAATGTTTACACCTTCCAACATTTTCATGAGCCGCAGAGCCGTTTTTCTTGCCTTTCGCTACACTTGACTTCACTGCTGGCCGAAGCAATATTTTCGTCCACAGCCCCCTTTCTGCACCGCTTATGCTACTTGCCGGAGAATGTCTCCGTCAAGTGGAGTACCTTGATTCTTCTTTATTTCTTAACATGCCAGACGAGTCGTGCAGTAGCACCTTGACCGAACTTCATGCCCTTTCCCCACTAGGATGCTCGTCGAGTGACATCTTCTCGAGTTCTACCGCTGACACCTTAAGTGCTCAAGAATTCGCCGAGCTTCTTAATCTCCTCCAGCACTACGCGAATTCATTCAACGTTTCTCAGCCACAATTGGGTCACACTTCCACAGTGCACCACTACATTGACACCGGTTCGTACCAACCAATGCGTCAAAGACCGTACACCGTGTCTCTGCTGCAGAACGTAATGTCATCAACGACCAGGTCGAAGAGATGTTACGCCGTCGCATTATTCAACCATCGCACAGTCCTTGGGCATCTCCTGTCGTTCTAGTTCGAAAGAAGGATGGATAAATTCGATTTTGCGTCGACTACCAGCGATTAAACAAGGTGACGCGGAAAGACGTCTACCCATTACCGTGCATCGACGATGCCCTTGACAGACTCCAAGGAGCGGAATTCTTCTCCTCCTTAGACTTACGATCTGGATACTGGCAGGTTCCTATGGCAGAAGCTGATCGCCAGAAAACTGCGTTCATTACACCAGATGGCGTGTACGAATCTAACGTAATGCCCTTTGGGCTTTGTAATGTTCCTGCCACATATGAACGACTCATGGACAATGTGGTCTGTGTATCTATGCTACCTCAACGACATTGTCGTTTTCTCTCCCGATTTTCCTAAAAATCTGCTTCGGCTCCAACTGGTTCTGACGTGTTTAACCAATGCTGGGCTCCAACTGAACCTTAAAAAGTGCCGCTTTGCCGAGCGAGAGCTGTCCATCTTAGGGCACATCGTGTCCAAGCATGGTGTTTTACCCGACCCTGCAAAACTGCGAGCAGTCGCTGAGTTCCCGAAACCTACTACACTGAAAGAATTACGCAATTTCGTTGGTCTATGCTCGTACTTCCAGCGCTTCGTTCAAAATTTTGCGTCGATCATGTCACCCCTGACCAACCTCCTACGCGGTAACGCAGACCTTTCATCCTGGTCTCCTGACTGCGACGTCGCGTTTGCGACACTCCGTAGTCTGCTAACATCTCCTCCCATTCTTCAGCATTTCGACCCAACAGTTGCAACGAAAGTTCACACAGACGCTAGCGGGGTTGGTCTTGGCGCTGTCTTCGCCCAACGCAAGCCGGGCTACTCCGAAAACGTCGCTTATGCGAGTCGCAGGCTCACTAAAGCTGAGGCCAATTACAGCGTCACTGAATAGGAGTGCTTAGCGCTAGTGTGGGCACTTCGCAAGTTCCGCCATTATTTGTACGGTCGCCCATTCGACCTGATAACTGACCACCATGCACTTTGTTGGCTCGCCACATTGAAAGATTCTTCTGGCCACCTAGCTCGGTGGGCACTGCAAATCCAGGAGTACGACATTCGTGTCATCTATCGCAGCTGATGCAAGCATTCTGACGCCGACGCCCAGTCCCGTTCGCCTTTACCTCCCGACTCGGTCTGCGGAACCACTGGTACCGACTCCGTCGCATCTCTCGACCTCGACTCCTTTGCTGGTAAACAACACAATGACTCGTGGATCGCTTCCCTTTTTGACTGTCTCTCTGGATCGTCAACTACTGGGGTATCATGATCTCTCCAACGTCAAACTTCTCATTTCGCCATTTGTGATCGGCTGTGAACTGCGCCCCTGAAGGTTGTAAGTGGCTCTTGGTTGTCCCCCGCAGCTTACGATCTCAAATATGCGCCTCCTTTCACGACAATCCCCAATGTGGCCATGCCGGAGTTTTCAAAACTTACGAACGCATTCGCCATCACTTCTACTGGCACGGAATGTATATAATTTTGTTCGAAATTCGAAAATTCGTTATGGGCTGCCCTGACTGTCAACGCCGCAAATCACCGTCTTTCCACTCGTCCGGTTCGCTTCAACCGCTTCTGTG